GTATGGGGGGCTAGGCGCCACAGCACAACGGCTGTGAATTGCGAAGCCTCAACTCTGGACGGGCACCTCAAGATACCCTGAGGCCCTGAGAAACCCTACATTCTATGCAGCCGATGCACCCTTCGTAAGATTCCCAAAAGAGCCTGAATCTTTATGATCCCTACGATGCCTTGTCCAGTGAGTTCAGCAGCGCCTCGATGCCTTCAATGCGCTTCCGAGCGCTTGGACTTCTCTGCAGGATTTCTTCGAATGTCACACCCTAGGTGGGGGCCCTTATAGGGCCTGAGGGCTGGTTGGGGTTGCACACATTGACATAACCGAGGGCTCTTTGAAGCAACAAGCTGGGGAATACCAACCGACAATCACGAGGGTATAGGCAATACTCGAACCTCAGTGACTTGGCGAGTAGCAGTGCGCGAGCAAAACACCCGTTGAGTTAGAATCCACGCTGGTTTGCCCAGCGGGTGGCACCGGGCCGCCCGGCTCAGAAGCGGCCTCGAGCTCAAGTGGGAGCAGGGGCTGTCTTCTTTTCGGGAGAGGCGCTGATACAGCCCTGACTCTGACGTATAACCACACGGCCCGAATTCCATGGAGGTGAAGGGTTTGGGGTTGTCAACTGCAACTTTTGGCATTGTACGTTTTCGCACAGTCCAGGACACGAAATATATCCCATGGCCTGCGCAATCCTCCCGCCCTTTTTTGGAAATTCGGTTCGATTCCTGTCCGTGCTGCTGCGTTGGAGGATCAACACGAAGTGCGAGCAAATTCTAATGAGGCTGCTGAACAAACGCAGGTACAACGTGCCAGAAACACAAGAAGCCGATACCGCGACATGAAGAACAATCTTCAGAGCGTTTATAAAAAGCTCATCAAACTAAAAGTTCAAGCTCACAAAAAATCTTGTACATTCAGATGCGAAGAGCTGCAGCGACGCTGGGGGGGGAGGCCCAAACAAGGTGGTGCTATGTGGTGCTGAGCCCGAGACAGGGAGCTGGATTCAAAGGCATCACAGATGGAGACGACGAGGATGGGAAGCCTCGGCGGCGAATTTCGGGTGCCAAACGGCTCGAACGGTTCCTTCTGGCGCAAAACAACAAGGTTCGTGAAAAGCAACCCAAACAAAACCCTGTGCTGAGGACGTCACAAGGTTTCCAGCAGCTCTCGTCCGATCTGGAGCACGCGGCCCAATCTCGGCGTCAGGCAATTCACTGAATTGGGATCCCCGACAGCCCAAAAATGGCAAACCGTCAAAAAAGGCGCCAAAACGACCAAAAGCCTGTGGAAAGGGCCCTGAAAATCTCAAGCCACTGCTCCCTGCAACAAACCCCAAGAAACCTCAAACCTTAAGCCCTCACCTGGGTTTGTGGTCCTAATGATGCGCAGCAGAAGAAGCTGCAGGAACGGCAGCTTCGCATGCAGAACAACATGTCCTCCCCCCCCAAACTTTGGGCTTTTTGAGATGTTTCTCAGCCCGTGCTGGGCAGCCCCACTGCGACGCGCAGTCGCGGGACTTCGAAGCAAGGCGTCCTGCACGGTAACGGTTTCCCCACGCTCAGCCTCCAACACTAGTTGAACAAAGTTGGCTCTCCGTAAACCCTCAGCGGCCCCATAGGGCCTTGGTATTCCTCCAGTCGCTCGCACACACAGGCCTTAGCAAAGCACGGGTGGGAAGCAACAGGTGCGTTGATGTTCAAGACTAACCCCCAATACTCCACTGCTCTGAGGGCCGAAGGGCCGAAGGGCCGAAGGGCCGAAGGGCCGAAGGGCCGAAGGGCCGAAGGGTCGAAGGGGTTGGCCCAGTGTTTGGCGTGAGGGAATCGGAACGAAAGGCTCGGATCCTTTCCGCGAGCTATGTAAAAAAAGGCGCCTCCACATGTGGGATCGTATTCAAAACCACTGAAGTGCACCGCATTAAAGCCGCCAGCATTTCATCCAAACCACTGCAGCAAAGACGAGACCCAGGATGCTCCACAGGATGGACATCTCTATGCCACGGAAGACGGCGGCAACTGTGGCACCGATCCCGACTGCCAGAAGAATGAGGCACAGAAGGCAGATCAGGAGTGGCTCCAAGAGGGAAGGTTTGATTCTGCATCTGCCCAGTCGGATTCCCTGCTGGGTGAGGTAAGCTCCTAATACGATGACAGATGGGAGCCAGAGCAGGTTGAAGCACAACACCACAGCAAGGAAGTAGCTTATCGATACTTCAGCAGCCACCCCGGACATCGAGAAAGCCAAAGACCCTTCCAGAAAGTAACTGGTATTCGGCAGCACCAAGAAGATGAGGTAGTGGCCTTCAATGCAGCGTTGGCTACGTCTGAGCTGAAGTACTTCGAGGCAAAATGGCCCCTGTATGTAATCGTTGAAAGCAGCCAGGCTGCCGTACCACGTGATGATGAGATCATGGATGCATTGTCTGTCAAACTCGTTGCTGCATTTCGCGTTCATCACATCGAAGCTTGTCAGCTGGCTTCTCAACTTTTGGTCGGCATCTTGCTTCTGCACGGCCGCAAGCGCCATTGCAGCAAGGATCGGCAAAGCCACACATACGACCACCAGCAGCAACCGCAACAGCTCGCCACCATGTGTGCCCTCACGCGCAATCCAGAACCCCACAGCGCCCAATTGCGCCCAGATGAACGTCAGAAGAACAGCAACCTCCGTCATAATCCGTGATATCACTATCCTTCCGTGTGGGTTGAGCTTGCGATATGCTGCTAATTCGAAGACACACCACAACCTCTGTAGGTAAGGCGCGCTCCAAAGCACGCGCAGCTCTGAAGCTGACGCAAGGAATGCTCCGATGGACCTGATGCCCTGCTGCATCTTCCTGCTGTCTGTCTGGTGAACGCATACGAAATCCAAGAAGCAGATGTCTGAAGCGACGTATGGAAAGTATGGGAAGACAACAAGCCCTATAATGGCCCCACCCAAGGACAGCAGCATCACCCAGCAACCTCGGCGGTCCAAGTCTTTGGGAGCAAGTGTTCGTTGCAATAACGAAAGACCGCTGACACCTAGCTAGCGAAACAGAAAACACTCATATTATAATATATATATATATATACATACATGTGTATATGTGCTTTCCCCCCCCCCCAATAGATCCATGGTTTTATGTCTCATCTCTTTTGTTTCATGAGATATGCTCCCCCCCCCCCCAGATCTGCATCCGAATGTTTGTAGTCTCAAGTTTCCTGATCAAGTCAAAGTTAAGCGTTTAGGGCTTAAGATTTGAGAATCTCAAACATAAGCCGGCAATTAAACCTAAACCCTTAACCTTTAAACCCTGGGGTTAAGGGTTAAAGGTTTAGGATATAAGATCTGGGCATTGTAACTTAAGCCCATAGAGTTTGAACCTTAAGGGTTTAAGGTTTAGGCAGTTAGAATACGTACAAGTGAGTAATCTGCGTACTCAATCTTATATGTATGAGTTGGTAGTCTGCGTACTCAATCTTGATTGGAAAGAGTTTTTGTACCAAAATATTGCCTATATGCATTCGGCTTGTTGGGGGGAGGGGGGTTTTTCCAACATAGCCAGGACTTCTGAACACCCCGCTCCCACCCCCTCCCCCCTGCCAAACCTTCCGCTCCGCTGAGCTCCCTGCTTGAAGGCTTATTCTCTTATTCCCTGTCGGTTAAGGGTTTCACGAGACCCTGTATGATTAAGCCCGTAACCTTTCAGCCCTACCGGGGTAAGGTTGACAGGTTTGGGGTTTAAGACTTAAGATTTAGGCATTTACTCCTAAGCCGGCAATTAAATCTAAACCCTAACCTTCAAACACTATAGAGTTCAGGCTTAAGGGCTTAGGGTTTAAGATGTAGGCATTTGAAACCTAAACCCATAGAGTTTTAACTAACTTAAACTTAAGGGTCTAAGGTTCAGGAATGTAAACCCTAACCCTGAACCGTTTAGGGTCAGAACCTGAAGATTTCTGCGAGACTCTTGTGGAAAATCTTCGATTTTCGCCTTCAATCTCAGGAGATATACATACATACATACATACATACATACATACATACATACATACATACATACATACATACATACATACATATACATACATGTATTATCCGGAACGCCCAGCAACCATATGGGATGGAAGTGCCGTGAGTGTAGTGTATGCCAGGCCATATAGCTGGAATCGGCATCTCAAACACCGTGAAGAGTGGCAGCACCTCGAGTACCACAAGAACGGAACCAGTCATCGCCCCGATGGCCCAGAAGATCATCATGCCAGGCCAGCCGAAACGCAGAAGAAGAGATAACAGTTTCCATCGGCCGCGGGTCTCCCACGTGTGCGACAGAAACTTGTCATACCTTTTCGTGGGCCTGGAAGCATCCCAAAGCTTGGACTTCTTGCGGGCACTCATGGATCGTGGATCAGAAAGCCAAAGATGAGCTCCCCACTGCAGCGTCTGGCGTAGCGGAATCCCTCGCATCAGCGTTGCATCCAAATCATCGAGGCTTGTTACAAAGCTTGCTAAGTCGGGTGTAGAAGCTGAGGACTTTGTGTTACTTTCAGTTTCAGTCTTCTCGCCGTCGCTCTCCGTAAGACCCGTTACCTGGGCCTGGAGTGACGGCTGAAGCGCTTTATAACTTGTGAACGAGGATGTGCATGGAGCGGTGCTCTCTTCATCGCCAACTCGCTCCCTCTGATCGCTCTGGAACATCGGAGGATCTCTACGGATGAAAGTGAGAAAGGGCCCGGAACCGCGAAGCCCACAATGCAGGTTCGAATCCTTCGGCCGGTTGCCTTGGGCAAGCTTGAGCCTCCACAGTAAAGCGGTACTCCGTTCTTCTAGGGAAATGCTTCCCTGCTTTTGCGTACTTTGCTTGCTTTGCTTACTCTGCTTACTTTGCGTTCCTTGCTTACCGTGATTACTCTGCTTACTTTGCTGTGCTGTTTACTGCGTTGTCTGCACTCTTTGCGTATGGCAGTGGCGTGGCAGTTTTACGGCGAGTCGCTGACTGGGTTTTCTAACGTCAACGTGCTCAGCCAACAGCCCAAGTTTTCAACCGACCAAACACTACAAACTTCCACAGCGGCGGTGCCTTCCAACACTAAAACATCCTACAGCAGGTCTTGCGGTTGCTCTGGAAGGTACTCCACCAGTGACTCTTGCTGATGAACAACACTTAAGCAAGGCAGCGTTGGGTTTGAGTTGAGCCGTGATGGTGCCGGAGCCAAGGTGTCGAACAACATGGAGTCTCGTCATGCTTCCTGGCGACTTTGCACACCGAGGGCGTTGTTGCCAAGCATGCAATTTGGGAGCAAACAAAAACACCATGAGATATCCTAACCCCGAGCCCAAAGTCCAAGAATCTGAGGCCTCCAACTATGCGGATCCCTCTTGCTCTTGCACAGAGCCCGAGACCAGCAGGGCGAAAAAACCCGCGTCTTCGCCGAACTCCTCACAACATCGCGGCGACTACAGTGACTACAGGGCTTGCAGTGTAGGGTTGCGGGGCATGTGTCCAGAACGACCTGGGATTCTGCGGTCGCATTTTTTGCACAATATTTTGCAGAATATGTTGCATAATGGGTTGCATAATATTCCGCATGTGCAGCGCATGCGCCACCGAGCTTTCAATCGCCTGGCCCTCCTTTGACTTGGAACTGCGCTTTCGTTTTGAGCTGTTGGGGCGAGGCACAAACACAATGTCCACGCACTCTTCCATGGAACAAACACAGACATACATGTTAATCCCCCCAAAAACCGAAAAGTACACAAAGTGCCATACCAATGCACGGGAGGAACATGTGTGCAGCCTCTACGGGCAGTGACATCTTGAACACCTGAAACACCTGATCGCTCCAAACGCGTGTACAAGAAGGACCACCCACATGGTTTACGTAAAATCGCATGCTGCAAGGGCGAGCCAAAACAATCGGGTGTAGTGTACATCAAAGTGTACCGGTATCTGGCCTTCAATCGGAGGTGCAGTTCTGCACAGCCTGCATAAAGAACCCCAAGGCATCAACCTCTTTGAGCCCTTTACGCCCACGATCCAAGATCTCCACCTAAACCATCCTGACCCCCATTCCTGCAACTCGAAACCCGAATATAGTGCTCGGCCTCTGAACGTGAAGCCCCATTGAGCCCCCAGTATGATTCCCCCGTGCCCTCCTCCGGGCGCATGAGGAGCTGTCGGTAGAAACTTTGCCTGGACGTCAGCTCCTCTGTGGCCACGACCTCATCCCGCGAGGACTAATGAACGTATGACACCTTTTTGCATCCCGAAACCCGGATACATAGCTTGCCTCAAAGTCCCTCAAGCCGGGCGATGTTCGGGGGCCCAGCGCCAGAGGCTGCGGCGTGCATCCATCGCCTGCGGAGCTGTTGATGCTGAGGCGTACAGCTGCAAACGGCATAGGGGTCAAGGACCTCGTTTCGTTGCGAGCGAATTGCCAAAAACTCCCCAAAACATCCGAAAGTATCCCAACTTCACCTCGCGTCTGCACAAACGAGGTCTTCGGCGGCGAGGTCTGGAGCCTTCGTGGTTTTTTCGGGAAACGTCTTCGAGTTTGATGCCTTATGATGCCTTATGATTTGCAGGAGTTCGGGCCATGTACGATATTGTACTTGCGATCGCACTGGGCCCAACCGAAGCAGTTATTGAACCCGCAATGAATGGAGCAGATCAAGCAACAGACCACACAAACGGCGAGTTCTTCAACGCTTGGAACACTACCATACGGGCAGTTCGAAATGCTATTTTAAGATGCGAGCTGATCCAAGTTGATAATGCCGTACGTCGGAATTGTGGGCCAGCATTTTGCAAGGACTGTTTCGAGGTCCCAAAAGTACAAGTAGCGAAATGGTGCCAAGGAGCTCGCTGTCGTGATCTTGAGGCTTGGAGCCATCTCTTTGGGGGGGGGGGGGTGTTGCTGCGGGGGGGGGGGGGGGCCTAGGTGATCTTAGCTGCGGAGAGGAGGCGCCGGGCCTCCTCCTCACTCAGGCCCACCCTTCGGAGCCTGCCGCGGGATTCTGAGAAACCGTATACGAGCTAGCAAATGAGGATGTCACCTTGCCATGATGCTCAGGGTCTTGCTGGCCCCGTGGTCTGCCCGGATGTAAAAGCTAAGGGCGGGAGGGATACTGACAAGCCTGCTTCAAGAAATGTTTGGATAGCTGGTTCTTCAGGGAAGCCGCTGGCGTTTCAGACTTTCAGACCAAAGGCAAGTTCAACAAGTCTCGCACAGTCTCACGGTCTAAGCCCAAAGCCCTTTCAAGCACCTGTCCCTGTCGTTTGTGCAGAATGAGAAATGACTACTCTCGCTTTCGCAAGAGAGAGCACAGCCCCGTAAACCAAAAAAGCCATCTGAGAAGTCCCCCTGCGGAGCCGCAAATCTGCCCAGGAATCTGGGCCCGATACACCCTCACTGGGCCCTGGGAGTCCCAGCAAGGCAATCGGGCCGGGCACCACCGACACTGCCTCAGAGTTCGTGCTAAGAGGCGCGCAGGCTTCGCTTCAGAGGGAATGTTGGAAGGAATGTTTCGGGGTCTTTCGATCAGAGGATAGGGGCTCTTTCAGGTATGTTTCTTATTCACTTGATGCGTGCTCGGCTGGAAGATTCTCTCTGGGGTGTTTGAGAGGGTCTCAAGGACCTTGAGTCATTCCCCCCGCACGCCTTGGGGCGTTTGGCCTTCTGCGAGCCAGCGAGCTGAGTGTTGCAGCTTATGGTTTTACATGTTGAGCGCCTGCAAGCATAGGAGCCACGAATCCAAAGCTGAAGTTCTTGCTTCTGACTTAGTCTGACATTGTATCGATGCCTCCCTGTCCTTTGCTGATCTAAGGAGACGTGAATCTTGAGGCGCACGCTGGACAGAAGTCGGCCACTGACCTCGAACAGGCTGGATGAAGGGCAAGAAGAGAAGATGCCTTCTTAAACTAAGAACTCATCGGGGGTTCATGTGTCCACAGGTTTCGATTCAGCCGTGCCCGCCAGTGCATCTTGTATGCCGCCCCATGACATGGATCACAACTGCGTTCACTGAGGCGAAGATATCAAAGTACTGTGCATGATACTGCGAGAGTGGCTAGGCCGCTTCCTACTACGAGGAATGGCTCCTGACGTGGATGAGGTGTCGTGTGGAAAGCCTTCTGACTTGGATGGGATGGCTCCGTGGCCGGAACATGGGTTCCCTTTGCTCTCTTCATGCTCCTGTCTGAGCTGGGTGATCGGAATCCATGTCTCCTTTCGTGGCTATCGTGATGGCGGGGAGAGGGCGTTGCTACCACGACAAGACAAAAGATCCACACCATAACAAGGAAATTGTGGCACCACGACAGCGCATGAAACCTCAACACGACAAGGAGAAACCCAAACCCAAGCCAAAACGATGATTCCCCCCCCCCCCCATTTTCTGTGCCCCAGCGCCCCCCCCCCCGTGGGTGGCTTAAATAGGGTCTATTTGGAAGCTGGGACTCGGGTTTTCTTACAGCCATACACGTTTCCACGAGGGTACGCTGCTGTCACGTCAGTCGTACTATGGAGGCCTCAGGAACAAGAACCAGGTAGTTCCTCTTTTCTCTTCTCTTTTTCGCCTCAATCCTAAAGTCGAAGGCTCTCGTGAGGAGAAGAGAAGGGAGAGAAGGAGGGAAAGATAAGAGGAACACGATTTTCATGGGAAGAGCCAAGAAAAGAATAGAAGAGAGATAAAACAAGGCGAAAAGAAGATGGTACTCTTCTTTATCTATCCTCTCTCCCTTATCTCTCCGTTCCCTCTGTCTTTTCGAAATGAGAAAAACAAAAAGAAAGAGGAAAAGAAGAAGGGTTAGGAAAAGAGCCGAAGAGATAGGCCGAAAAGAGGGGTATGGTGAAGTACGGCAAAGGTCCACGCACAAGGAGTCACCTTCTGCTTACCCTTCCACTGCTTGATTTTACAAGCTCCTTTCTTGTGTTTTATCAGTTAAATTTAAAAGGAAACAGAAGGAGAGAAGGGAAAGGGAAGTGAGAGAGGAGAGACAACAAGGAGGCCATTTTAATTTCCTGTGAGTTATCAAAAGGAATGCAATATTATGGGAAGAGCAATGGAAAAAAGAGTGGAAGAGAAATGAAGACAGGAGGGGGAGGTGCAAAAATAAGGCAAAGAGAAGATGGTGCCGTTTTCATCTCACCTCTCGTTCTTATCTTTCTCTTCTCTGGTTCTTTTCCCTGTGAAATAAAAAACCAAAGGAAGGACAATGAACATATAAAGGAACCCGTTTTCGTTTTCCGTTTGGGCACAAGGAAAAGAACAGAGGCGATAGGGCGAGAGGAGGGGTTTGCTGAAGCATGGGGAGGGTGTACGGGCAAGGAGCCAACTCCGCCCACTTCCCCCATCCATTGAAAGAGGAGAAGAAAGGAACAGGGCCTCCATTCCCTCTTATTCTTCCTTTCTTGCGTTTTTGTCGTTTAGAGGGGAACAGGAGAAGAGGAGGGAGAGAGAAGGAGAGAGGAGAGATAAAAAGGGTTGCATTTCAATGGGAAGAGCAAAGAAAAGACTAGAAGAGAGATGAAGGGAGAAGAGGGAGAGACAAAACAAGGCGCACAGAAAATGGGCAGACAAGAAGAGAGGAAAGGGAATGACTAAGTAAAATGAGGAGGTCTTCAATTTCCCTCCCTATCTCTTATGTTACTTTTCCTTCTTGTGGGGTGTCCCTTCTTCTCTTGAAGATGCAGAAA